CTCACCCAGACCCAGATGTCACAGGACCCCGGGCATGGCAGATCCCTGAGGCAAAGCGTGACACAGGCCCATGGAGCTGGCACCATGGCACAGTGGGTAAAGCCACCGCCTTGAGCACAAGGATCCCAGCTGTTCCACTTTCAATCCAAGTTCCTGCTAACAGCCTGGGGAAGCCACAGAGGAAGGCCCAAGTGTTTGGTTCCCTGCACTCAATCCTGGCTGTAGCCTGATCCGGGCCTGGTCATTGTAAGCATTAGGGGAATGAACCAGCAGACAGAAGAAGATCTGTCTCCATCCCTCCCTCTCTTTCACTCTGCCTTTCAAATAAATAAATATTTTTTTAAAGATTTACTTATTTTGATTGGAAAGGCAGATATACAGAGAGAAGGAGATACAGAGAAAGATCTTTCATCCTCTGGTTCACTCCCCAAGTGGCCACAGTGACCAGAATACAGCCAATCCAAAGGCAGGAATTTCTCTCAGGTCTCCCAAGCAGGTGCAGGGTTCCAAGGCTTTGGACCATCCTTTATTGCTTTCCCAGGTCACAAGCAGGGAGCTGGATGGGAAGTGGAGCAGCCAGGACACAAGCTGGCATCCACATGGGATCCTGAGCACATGCAAGGTGAGGACTTTAGCCACTAGACTACCACAATGGGCTCACAAATATTTTCTTAAGAGAAAGAAAAAATACAGAGCTACCTTGATTCCTAATACTTGATTTGTGGGTGCTGCATCTGTAGACCCAATTTCTTGGATGACTGCGAAGCCCCTAGGGTGGGAACAGGCCTCCTACACGTGACCTCTCCTGCACCTGTATTTATGACACTGAACGTGCATGAGTCACCTGGGGCCACAGTAAGTGCTAAAGGAAGCCCGGTAATCTGCATGTCTCACAGGCCCATGTGCTCACCTTGAGCACACGGTGGGGCGCACTCACCTTGAGCTGTAGAACCGCAATACCACCATCAGACTCAAGAAGTGCAGATGCAAGCATGCTGCTGTGGACCAAACAGCCCATCTACACATTTCCCCTCTTGCTTCAAATGTTCTTTAAGATTGATTTGAGAGGCAGAGCATCAGAGAGAGGCAGAAAGAGAGAGATCTTCCATCTTCTGCTTTACTCCTCAAATGGCAGCAACAGCCAGGAGCCAGAAACTCCATTTGGATCTCCCGCATGGTGGAAGGGTCCCACACCGTCAGGATATCTTCTGCTGTTTTCCCAGGTACATCAGGCAGCAAGCTGAATCAGAAGCAGAGCAGACCAATCAAACAGACGTTCCTATGGGATACTAGCATCACAAGCCAAGGCTTAACCCGTTGTCCCACAACACAAAAGACCTTAAATAAATAACTATTTTTAAGATGTATTTATTTCTGTTGGAAAGTCAGATTTACAAAAAGAAGGAGAGACAGAGAGAAAGATCTTCCATCCTCTGATTCACTCCCCAAATGGCTGCAACAACCAGAGCTGAGTCAATCTGAAGCCAGGAGCCAGGAGTTTCTTCTGGGTCTCCCACACAGGTGCAGGGTCCCAAGGCTTTGGGCCGTCCTCGACTGCTTTCCCAGGCCACAAGCAGGGAACTGGATGGGAAGTGGAGCAGCCAGGATACAAGGAACTGGCACCCATATGGAATCCTGAAGCTTGCAAGGCAAGGACTTCAGCCACTAAGCTACCATGCTGGACCCAGCACTGATATTTTTTTTAAAGTTCTGTAGAAAATGCTGCCCTGTGGACTTCTGGTTTTTCCTTTCTCCATAAGCAGACATGTGTTACACCTGTTGGTTGTGTTGGACACTACACCATTGTAGGTGATGCACCCTCCAAATCACTCCATTGTAAAGAAGCTGTTTGCCCTTGTAATGTACAAGCAGTCAGTAAGGGATGCTTTAAGGCTGTGCAACTGTCTTGCTCAAGACCTTTCCTCCCATTGAAGAGGTTTGCTTGCCATTTCAGGAACTGTTTAAACAGTTACTATTTGCCTGCAACTGCGTGTGTGTGAATGTATGAGTAGAGGGGAAAGCATGCAATGCATCCACAGAGACCGAACACAGTCATCACTGCAGAGGGAAGAAGCTGCTCCTGCCTTTGGAACAAACATCTGGCAATTCCACCCCGCACCCAGACTGGAAGCAGGCTCAGTTCAGGTCTCCTGCGGGGGAAGTAATCCCCCCACTGGCAACCTCGAAGGAGGAGGAGGAGGCTTCCAGGCACCCACCCTCATCCTCCTTCATCTATTTGGGTGGAACATCAAGACCAAGTCGGCCAGAAGCCAGGGTCTAACCTCCCAGAGAGGCTGGGTTGTTTTCACAGCTCTCTTATCTGGAGCGTAAAAGGACACGCACAGCTGACTCCCCTCGAAGCCAAACTCACGCAAGTGCTCAGGCCAGCTGGGAGCAGATGCGGCTCCAGTTTCCTTCCCTGCGCTCTCAGAAGGGGAGACACAGAGGCACGGGGCCTGGTTGCCAGGCAGACGCTGTGGCCTGAATTATTGATGGAGGAATTAATCAGGCACCTGGCCCTCACCCACCCCTTTAGGCTGTGTCCAGGGTATAGAAAATCGAATCTGAAACAACCTCTTCTGGCCCAGAAGTTACCCTCTCAGGTCCAAATTCCTAGGGTTCATTTTCCTCTTCTTCAGAATGGAACCAAACGCTTGCTATGGGCGTTACCAGGGTTGGAGAAAACACATCCATAAAGCTACTAGTGCGCACATCCTTTGCGCTGCCCCTGCATGGTCACATCCAACCCTCTTCCCTTCCCAAGGCCCTAACAACCACTATTCTGTTCTGCACTTATACCATTTTATCATTGCAAAAAAGAAGAATGTGGACATGAGGAATGGTATGTCATCTTTGGGGTCTGGCTTTTTTTCAGTGTAAAGAATTTAGGATCCACACAAGCCCCTGGAGGTTTAACATGCTGCTGACTCCTTTTTAATTGTTGGATCATGGTCCGTGGTATGGTTGTAGTAGAATCGCAATCGCTGTCCTCAAGTGAAAGGACTTTGGTTTGCTCCCATCTGGGCTTCAATAATGAAGTTGTAGAAGCATTTTTTAGTACAGTAACTGCCATGCACTGCCCTACAAGCTAAGTGGCTTTCCATGGATGGGGAACCTTTTCTGCCAAGGCCATTGGATATCTATAACATCATTCATGGGCATGCAAAATTATCCATGCAAAAATATAGCCTGCTAGATTTATTGGAGTCTAGCTTGTGGTTGCCTTGGCAGAGTCAGACCAAATGATTTCACTGGCCTTACACAACCTATGAGCCAAGACTATCTATCCATTTCATCATCTATGTTACTGGTCAACTGAATTTTTAATGTATTGTTTGTTTGAAAGGGTGGCAAAGAGGAAAGCATACAAACAGAAATATCTCCTAACTATTTGTTAACTCCTCAAAAAGCCACAGCAGCAAGGTCTGGTCCAGGCCACAGCCAGGAGCTAGGAATTCCATGTGGGTCTCCCATGTGGCTGGTGGAGACCCAAGAACTGGAGCATCATCCACTGCCTTCCCCACACATTAGCATGAAGCTGGGTCAGCAACAGCAGCGGGGACTGCAATGCAGGGTGCTGGCACTGCAGCTTCACTCCCCACACCACAATGTTGACCCCCACTTGTCAACTTACTCTGCTCTGAATGCTCTTGTCCACTCTGTAACAACAGAGATGGGCCTCGTAGATCTCCTTTGTCAGCTGTCAGGCAAGGGGCTTCAAAAAGTTTGTGGAAGTCTGTAGTCTGTGAAGACAGTTTGCTCTTCAGCTGGCCCAGAAAAAAAAAAAAAACCACAAAATCATGTAAATCAAGAGCAGGTGGAAAATATCTCTGCCCCACCAGGCTCTGCCTTTCCAGTAAGTAAAGCATGAAATGTTTCTATTTGTCTAATTCTTTATCCAGGTATGTTGCTAAAATGATCATCTCCAAGATTAACAAAAACTATCCCAGTGGCTGTTGTTGGCATCCGAGAGATGAACCAAGTGGATAGGAAATCTCTCTTGCTCTCTCTTTTGCTTTCTCTCTATTTCTCTCTCTCTTCTTCTTCTTCTAGTTTAAGTCGCTGTGACTTATGCAGCCAGCCAAACATAATCACAACCAAGTTGTTCTGGTTATCCACTGCTTATAAAAGAGGCACTCCCAGGGAAAGGCATTTTGGGGCAGCACGTTGAGCCACCACCTGTGACAGCAGCATCCCATACGAGCACAGGGTCGAGCTCCCTTCTAATATGCCAGGAAAGGCTGTGGAAGACAGCCCAAGTGCTTGGGTCCCTGCCAACCAAGGGGGGAGATCCAGGCGGACATTTCTGGCCCCTGGCCCAAGGCTGAGAAGGCTCAGAGGCTGTGCACAGCTGACATCCATCCACACATAAGCCGCCCAAGTGCCATACACACAGTGAGCATTCAAAACATCTGGAAACCTCCCGAACCCCCTGCCCTCTTTTGTCTCCCTTTTTTACCTCCTAAAATATTTTAGCAATGTTAACTTGCTATGTAGCATGCAACTACACACTAACATCTCCCAGGCTTGTATGTTGTGTAATTTATTCATTTTCTTGTCTTTCAACCTCCTCTCATTCACCTCACAAACATGCAAATTCCATAAGGACAGGTACGAATGCCTTCCTGTGTTATCCAATTCGGGGTCCTCTGAGGTTTGGGACAGTGTCTAGGAACTCCCAATAGATGCTCCATATGAGAACGAACGACTCAACACTGAACGAAGGCACGCATGACAAGGCAAATTCTTTGTTAACAGCAGGGTGAGGAAACTGTGGGGAGTAGGGCAGCCTGGGATTGAAGGGGCCCAGAGTCCTCCAGGTCTCTTCCACGTCTAGCGAGGCTTTCTGGACCGGTACCAAGTTGCTTAGCAACCCGCTGCCGCTGCTTTCCGCCACCGCTAGAGGGCGAGCGGGCGGGGAGCCATGCGCGCGCGCGTCTGTATGCGTGCGTGCGCGTGGGCGCGCTCGTGCACGACGCGCGGCGGGGAGGAAGGCGCGTCACTTCCTGTTTCTTTAGGGGAACGTGGCTTTTCCCCGCAGCGCCCGTGTGTCCGTCTGCGTTGGTGCTGCAGCGGCTGGAGCTGGAGTCGGATCCCGAGCGCAGCCTGGCCATGGACTCGGCCCTCAGCGACCCGCATAACGGCAGCGCCGAGACCGGCAGCGCAGCCAACGGCACGACGCGGCCGCCTTCCACGCCCGAGGGCATCGCGCTGGCCTACGGCAGCCTCCTGCTCATGGCGCTGCTGCCCATCTTCTTCGGCGCCCTGCGCTCGGTGCGCTGCGCCCGCGGCAAGGTAGGCTCGGCGGCGAACCCGGGCGCTTTGCGCTCCTCTCCCAGACGCGTCCCTTCCTCCTCAGGCCAGACAGGCGGCCCCTCTTCGCCCCAACGCCGCCCCCTTCCCAGCAGTGGTCATCACCTGCGCCCACGTCCTGACCCCAGCCTCCCGGACGCTGACACATCCCCTCCGCGGGGAGGACAGGCTGGTTCGGAGCCGGGCCGGCCCCACCCTCCGCTCTGGCGGGCCGCCGGCCTGCCTTGCTCATCCCACCCCATCCCAGTCCGTCCCATCCCAGGATGTACCCCGAGAACTCCCCCAGTGAGACCATCTCGTCGGACCTCGGAGCCCAGCCTCGTCCCCACCCCAGCACCTCTTCTGCCATCCAAAGCTATACTTGAGCCCCGGCCCTGGCGGCGTGTCATGTGTTCACCTGGAACCCCCTTCCCCCCCAAAACCCAGCTCTTGCAGTCCCTGCAGCAGGGCCACAGTCCAGCCCGACCCCCATCTCTCTCTCTCTCTCTCTCTCTCTCTTTTTTTTTTTTTTTCCTGGCTTCCAGTTCTGAAATTGATTGCAGTTAGCCAACCTGTTAGAAACCAGCAGCACCTGGATGCCTCTACTTTTTAACCCAGCAGAAACCAGATGTTGTCGCTTTCTGCTTGCCGGGCTGTCCAGCCTTGGACCTGCCCTAGCCGGATCCTGTTGCTAAACTCTTCCTGTTGCGGCCTTCTGGATGGCTGTCACATTGGATGCTTTTAGGACTCCAGCCCTCCCCCATTCTGTGGCCTGTTGTCCCAGTTGCGCCTCCCCCACCCCTCTTTCCAGGGGCTCTCTCCGCTGCATACCCTCTGAATCTTAGGCTCCTTGAAGATGGACTAAGAGGAGACTGGTTTGGCAGAGGGCAGGGTCACAAAACATCTGCCACTTTGAAAACTGCTCAAGTTCAGGTTCTTTCAGTACCCCCATGGAGCAGCAGAGGGGACCCTCTGCCCTTCTTTCTCTCTGCTGAATGGTTGTCCCCCCCTGAGACCCACAGGAGAGGGGCCGGGCAGGGCTGCGCTGTGACTTGCGTGTGTCCCTTGCCTTTGCTCCCGCCTCTGCTCAGCCCGTCTGCCATGTGCATGAGGCCACACACTTGGGGCAGAGGAGGGTGAAGGCAGCGTGACCTAAGGTGGGACTGCCACTTGTCAGTAGCCGTCCAGCCACCTGGGGGATTCGTGTCGCCAGCTGCCTCATGCCTCGCCCCCCCCCCCCCCCCCCGGCAGCACTGTGTCCTGAAGTTACCCTTTGCCAGGGTACTGGGTCGGATCCCAGCACCAAGGAGTTGAGCCTCATGGATGAAGGAGGACTGGCTGGGGCTATAATGCCCACCATGCCATAGGATCTGAAGAGAAAGTTGGAGCATGGGTGTGGCGGGTGAGGAGGCATGCAACAGGTATGGGGCTTGAGCCTTAATGCAGAGGTAACATTCCAGCCAGTATAAGGTATCCCACAGGCATCCGGGTGGGTAGGACAGCATCGGGCAGCTCTGGAAAGGGACAGAGGCTGAGGTATAGGGAGCAGTGTCCATGGTGCCCAGCCTCCTTGGAGGGAATGAATTATGACCACTTGGTTGCTCCACGTCAGTGGGTGCCAAACCCCTTGTCCTGTAGCGCCAAGGAACCTCAGACCAAAGACTGAGGACGTGCCCCCACCCGCACCAAAGAGGCAGTCAGGCCAACTGAGGGGTGCCTGGTGAGGCCAGAAGTCCCCCCCCACTCACTGGTAAGGAATTGAGTAGCTCAGAGGTATAAAGGAAACACCTGCTCAGGGCTATTCCTATGGGGGAAACGCAGTTGGCTGTGGAGTATGTCTCTCTCCAGGATGCTGTGGGTGTGTGCCTGGACAGGGGGACTTTATTTGACTGTCCTGGACTTGGACAGCGTGTCCTGCACAGGCATTTGTGGTTCTGTCATTTCCTTAAGACAGGAGGGGAGGGAGTGCAAGCCCACAGTTCTGAAGTCTAGAGGTCTGCAGGCAAGCATAATGGCTCCCCCGCAACCTCCTCACCTGTTTGCTATTGTTGCCAGTGAATAAGCATGTGCTTTAGCCCTGTGCTTGTTAGCTGTTGCATTTTGTTCTGTATACTCTGGGCTGTTGGTTTGCTCTGTAGCCCTTTTTTCACCAAACACACATGTTGGCAGTCGGATCTGCATGGTGCTTCCTGAGCAGCATGGGGGGGCGACCCGCCACTTGCCCTCCTCACCCCCAGTTTGTGTAGAGTGTGGTTTCTCAGAGTGCCGGCCCTGGAGAGCAACACAGGCATCACCTGGATGTGTGAAAATCAAAGGCTTGGAGTGGGCCCAGCAGTCTGTGTTGTAACAAGGCCTCCTGTGGTCTCAGGCACATTGAGAGGCTTTCCCCTGGCCAGTTGGGTTGCCTGAGTCAGTGGGCCCCACACACCACGCTGAAATTCAGGTCCATATACATCCGTTACTTACCCTTGGTGTATTTGTATAATTTGTTTCTCAGAGTTGTTTTGCCAGATCACAAGCACAGTGTTTTTTATTTGTTGATTGATTTTTAAGATTTATTTCTTTTTATTAGATTTACAAAGAGAAAGATCATCCATTCACTGGTTCACTCCCCAAGTGGCCACAGCGGCCAGAACTGGGTCAGTCAGGAGCCAGAAGCTGCTTCTGGGTCTCCCATGTGGATGCAGGGTCCCAAGGCTTTGGGCCGTCCTCTACTGCCTTCCCAGGCCACAAACAGGGAGCTGGATGGGAAGTGGAGCAGCTGGGACATGAACCAGGCCCACATAGGATCCCAGCACTTGCAAAGGGAAGGGTTAGTGAATTGAGCCATCACACCAGGTCCTGAGTGCTTTTCATTGACATTGATTTTATCAAATGAGCCGTCTTGGAAGCTGAATTAGCTCCGCGTCCCACCTGCAGGGTCTTTAGTGCTTGTCTGAGAGGTAGTCTGTTCCCTGGGGGAGCAGGTTTGTGAGACAGTCAGATGTAGGCTTCAGCAAGGACCTATAGCACAGCAGGCAGTGGACAGGAGGAAGAAGGATGAGGAGGGAGGTGGCGTGGGTGCAGTGAAGGCAGCAGTGGGAGCCGAAGGGTGGGGTGGGAAGCGAGTGCAAGAAATGCTGGGGAAGGGGCCCTGGCACAGTAGCCTAGCAGTTAAAGTCCTTACCTTTCATGCCTGGGAAACCATATGGGCGCCAGTTTGTGTCCTGGCTGCTCCACTTTCCATCCAGCTCTGGGAAAGCAGTCAAGGACAGCCCATAGCCTTGGGACCCTGCACCCACATGGGATACCTGGAAGAAGCTCCTGGCTCCTGGCTTTGGATTGGCTCAGCTCCGGCTGTTGTGGTTACTTGGGGCATGAATCAGCGGATGGAAGATCTTCCTCTCTTTCTTCCTCTCTCTATATCTGACTATCCAATAAAAATAAATGAGCAATGAATCTAAACAAAAAAAAATCTTAAAAAAAAAAAGAGGAAGAAAAAGAAATGCTGAGGAAGTGGGCTCCTCTGGAGATGAGAGAGTGGGGACCCCTGCTGAGGCTAGGGGTCACAGAGGACCCAGGAATTGCAGGCGGCATCCAGGGCCCGCTGGCGTGTCTGCCCTTCCTGCTTTGACTTCCGCCCAGATAACTCAGCTTCTCAGATACCAGAAACTAGCTTCATTTCTACTGTCTGTCAGCGTTCCCCCCACACTCGTTACATGTTGTGCTCCAAGACCTATTGCATTTGTATAAATGCATCTGATCAGAAATCAAAATCATTTATGTAAAGAATTCCAACAATTTGCAGTTACTTTTTGTAGCTTCAGGATTACAGTTCTCAGGAAGGTCGCAGGCCTCCTAAGTATCTTCTCGTCACTCCTTTCTGGAAGTGTCCAGATGATAGAGATCTTAGAAAATAGTAGCCGAGGGTTTAAACTGAAACTAGACTGCCTCAGTTTGAATCCCAGGTGTGCTACTCACCAGCTGTGTGACACTCTGCAGGTGAATTTACCTCTCTGAAGCTCCATTCCTAATCTGTAAAAGGGGAGCTATTTTTTTGTAAAGGTTTTTTGTCAGGGAACAATGGCTCAATTAGCTAATGCTCTATCTTCAACAACTGGTATCCCATGTGGACACTGGTTCGTGTCCCGGATGCTCCACTTCCCATCCAGCTCCCAGCCTGTGGCCTGAAAAAGCAGTGGAAAATGGCCCAAAGCCCTGGGACCCTGCACCGCATGGAAGACCTGGAAGAAGCTCCTGGCTTCAGATCAGCTTAGTTCTGGCCATTGTGGCCATTTTAGGAGTGAACCAGCGGATGCAAGAGCTGTCTCTCCATCTCTATGGATCTTTCCAATAAAAATAATTTTTTTAAAGTTTGGGTTTTTTTGTTTGTTTGTTTGTGTTTTGTTTTTAGAAAGGCAGATTTACAGAGAGAAGAAGAGACAGGAAGATCTTTCATCCTCTTCTGATCCCACAAGGGTTCAGGGTCCGAAGGCTTTGGGCCATCTTCAACTGCTGTCCCAGGCCACCAGCAGAGAGCTGGATGAGAAAATGGAACAGCCAGAACACAAACCAACGCCCATATTGGATGCTGGTGCTTAAAGGGGGAGATTTAGCTTGTTGAGCCATGGCACCAGCCTAGAAGGGAACTATTGAAAGTTTTTGTTTTGTGAGGATGAAATAAAGCACCTGGTACCTGCTAGGCAGGGGATTCTCAGTAAGTGCCCCGTCACTGTCGTCAGTCAGGTTTCAGATCTCCTGCTCTGGGTCAGCTTTACGGCTAGGGTGTTTCAGACAGTTGCTGACAGAAGAGGCCAGGTTCCTCTGCTCCGTGGAGCACAGTCCAGAATCCCAGAGCACCTCCTTTCTTCCTGAGCAGTGTGTGTGAGGCACTGGCTGCAAGGGGAAGCCAGAGGGCTCTGTGTTGCCGCCTGAGCACCCGACGACTTGTGCCTTGGCCCGAGAAATGCCTCACTTCCTGGCACATGGAGCCAACTGGCCATTTCTGTAGCCCCTGCACAGAGGTGGCGCTTGCTGCAGCTGCCGCTGGCCAGCTTTCCATGCAGTGTGCAGGGGGTCACAGCTGTCCTCCCCAACTCCCTGGTGTAGGAGACTGGCATAGACAGCTGGGGTGAAGGCAGTGCTCCAAAAGCTGCCAGACAGACATTGCAATCCCTGTATTTCTTCTATAACCCAGAAAGTCAGGGTTATGTGTGGGAGAGCCCCGTATTCTGAGGCTTCTCGGCCTGGAAGCAGCTGAGCAGGGTGTCAGCCAGGGCATGCCCAGGGCTCACACCGTGCCTCTCACCAGGTACCTGTGTCCCCCATCACGTGTCACACTGGTTTGCCATGTTCTGTTGACACAGGATCTTCTGTGCACTCTGGAAGGTCAGGAGCTGTCCTGCTCCCCCAGGACCTGACTGACATTTTGGAGGTGCGCATTGAGGGCAAGGAGCTCACCCAATGCCCACAGCACATCGCAGCCAAAAGCAGAAGCCCCGGGCCTACAGAGAAGCAGAAGGCAGGAAGCGGGGCCTCTTGGTGTCCGTTTTGCTCACCTGCCCCACCCCCGCCTCCTGGCACAAGTGCCGGAGAGTGAGTCACCCGGAGCGGAGGGGAGGCTCTGCTTTTTAGTGCTGCCTGCAGGCCAGACCCTGAAGGTGAGGTACTGGGTACGGGTCTCCTCCTGGGCCTCTGGGGTAATGACAGCCCCACTGCACTCATGCTGCCCACCGGGTGGGTGCCAGGTGCAGCCACCTGCTCTGGGTCATGTGGCCTGATCCAGGCCTCTCGGTCCTTTTTCCAGGGAAGTAGGGGCTAAATATTTCCATTCAGGGGCCCAGCAAGCAGAGGACTAACCCATTACCCATAAGCCATGACCAGGGCCAGGAGCTCCTGGGCTGTGCTTCATAGGCATCCATTTCACTTACCTGTAAATTGTATCTGTAGGAAGAATTCCCCAGAAGTAGAACTTTTTGGCCAAAGAGTATATGTGTTTATGACTTGGACGTTTCTGGCCCTACAGCAGGGCCGTCCGCCTGTCAGCAGTATCCGAGAGCCCCTCCTCACATCTCGCCACCTCCATATGGGACCAAATGTATGGCACACTTTAGCCTGTGCTTCCTGCCTTAAGGGTGGGCATGGACATTGCCTCCTGGGGCTAGTAGCTATTTATAATCTCCATCCTTCTCTCAGTTTTCTCAGTCCACAAATTATAAATTGATGCAGCCTGCAGAATTGGCCTTTCACAAAGGCCGGACAAGAGCCAAAGGAATGCTCCCTGTATTGGACACCACAGCACGGCGTTGCTTCCCTGGGCCCTATCTCTTCCCTCTTGCATCTTTCCACCCTCTGCAGGCAGCTTCCTCTTGGCTGTTTCTCCTGGTAGTTTGTAAGAGCCCACTGGGAATCCTACAGTGATGGGTGCCACCCCTGGATGTGATCCCTTCTCCCAGGGACACTGGTGTCTTGCCAACAGAGTGGACCCTGTGACAGTGGAGGCCTGAGGCATTGCAAGGGGCTGTGCTGTGCTAAGAAATTATTTCGCTTGTCCTAGCAGGACAATCTGGAGGGGCTTTGGGGCAAGGACTTTGACCAGGCCCTTGAGGACTGAGAGTGGGTGAAGTATTGTGAGCCTGGAAGCTTCTGGCTACAAACTTAAACCAGGGTTATAGGAGCAAAGTTCTGCTCAGCAGCTGAGATGCCTGCATCCCATATCAGAGTACCCAGGTTCGAGCCCTGACACAGACTGTAGGAGGCAGTGGCGGGTGGCTCAAGTACTTGGGGTTCTGCTGCTCACGTAGGGGCCCTGTGTGAAGTTCCTAGCTCCCAGCTCTGGCCAGACCATTACAGGCCTTTGAGGAGTGAACCAGCAGATGGCAGCTCCATGTCTGTTTCTTTGTCTCTCAGATGAATAAAATTTAAAAAATCTAAACCAGGGTTATGTGACATGAATGGTCATCATTCACATGTGGGCCCAGCGTTGTGACACAGCAAATTAAGTCACCACCTGGCACATCTACATCCCATGTTGGAGTGCCTGGTTCAAGTCCCAGTATCTCCACTTCCCATGCGGCTTCCTGCTGATGCACCTAGGAGGCAGCAGGTGATGGCTGCAGTACTTGTGTGCCTGCCCTGGTGGGATTCCTGGCTCCTGCTTCAGCCTGATCCAGCTCTAGCAGTTGCACGCACAGACAGGATGTGAACTAGCAGGTGGAAGATGCCTGTCTCTTTTAAAAAAATGAATGAAAAACATTTAAATTCTTATGAATTCTGTGAAGCAGATTTAATTCCTACGTTACACTATTACTTCAGTTCTTTTTTGTTATAATAATGAAATTATTTTGATCACATTTAAACCTTAGTCTAAATATTTATCCTTTTGTCAGCTGTTTACCCACATCAGATTCTCACCAACGATAGCATCTGTCATTGTAGGCTTAGTGTGGCTGTCATTCTTGCCACATTCATGTCTCAGTGAGATTTCTCCAGCCTTGCTCTGATGTTTTCTCCTTGCGGTTGGTGTCTTCCCGTAAACTGTTTGAGCCACAGGCAGATGTTTTTCTTCTCCTAGTCTTCATTACCTGCCGGGTCACATTTTCCTCTTAGCCAATCCATAAGAAGATGGAGGGACAGAGTTGCCCTCGCAAGGGCTGGGTGGCACCAGAAGTTTGGCTCTTTTGATTATCCCGTGTCGTGGCTACCCATATCAGAGAGGTCAGCACCCTGCCTTCTCTGGCCCGGCTCCCTCTGTCAAGTGGCAGGACCCAAGCAGGTTGTCCTGGAGCGAGGCGTAGAGGCTGGAGGATGCGGGAAGCCAGAACAGAATGGAACCGGGAAGCAGAAAAATGAGCTGATGTGAGGGCACATCGCACCCAGGGGCAGGTCCCCCTGCAGCCAGCACCCGAGCCCCTCAGCCTGGCCTCTCTCCTCTCCCCTAGAATGCCTCGGACATGCCCGAGACCATCACCAGCCGGGACGCCGCCCGCTTCCCCATCATTGCCAGCTGCACACTGCTGGGCCTCTACCTCTTTTTCAAGGTAAGTCCTTGGCCACCTGCCAGGTTGTGTGGTTTAAGTCAATTGGTTTTCCTTTGTTTCACCTTTCCCATTAGGGAACCATGCATGTTCATTTGTAGAGAATAACGAGCAGGGGGACGTGAGGGACTCCTGGGGTCCTAGTTCTGACGCCAGGGTCAGGACCCTGCACCACCAGTCTTGCTTTCTTTGCTCCATGTACATTTTGGTTTGTGTTCGTGATCTCAGTTTGGGGGTTCCCTGCACTGTTGATGTTGGGGTGGGGTTGTGTCTCAGACATACCTCTGTCATACTAATTGCCTTTTTTTTTTTTTTTTAATTTATCGAGGTTTATTTTCCCAATAAAAGTTACACAGGCTCAGTGTTGAAAAGCTGGAAAACTCAGAAAAGTAAAAAGGGGGAAACAGCAGTCATCCAAAACCCCGCCAGGGACAGTCCCAGGTTCCCTCTGGAGGTGTGTCCTTCACTGTTTCTCCCCGTGCATGGTCCCCCCGGCCGGGCCCCAGTGTGCTCAGTCTGTAGCCGCTTTCCTCACTCCACCTTAACAACATTGTGAGCATCTTCTCATGTGACTGCAAGCTCTCCTGCCACTCTGTAGAAAAGACACCTCCTCCTCTATCTCCATGAAGGGACTGCATCCAGACAGCTTCCTGTCAGGTGAGAGATGTGTCCACACAGCACAGAGGTTGTCACTGACCTTTGAGCACGTCTCCTTGGAGGTTTTTAGTGAGCATGCTTGCTAACATAATCATGGCCAGGGCTGGGTCAAGGCCAGACCAGAGCCTAAGATCCTCCTAGCTAGTGATTGATTGATTCACTGCTTTTGAAAACAAATTGACAGGGAAAGATAGAAATCTCCCATGCACTGTTCACTTCCTAAATACTTGCAAAAGTTGAGACTAAACCAGCTAGAGACAGTAACTAGGAACTCTGTCTGGGTCTCCCACCTTGGTGACAGGAACCCAAATTCTTGAACCAGTACTGGCTGCTGCTTAAGTGCACCAGCAGGAAAGTGGTTTAGGAGTAGAGACGGGGCTCGGCCCCAAGTGTTCTGATAAGGGATGCAAGTATACCAGGCAGCAGTGTAGCCTGCTACACCGAGACACAGTGCTCACCCATCTTCTTTTTTTTTTTTTAATCACCACAGGTACTTTTCCCCTAATCATTGAAAATCCCTCAATGATTTTAACTTTAACTTTAACTTTCTAATGCACACTTTAAAAATACATGTACACGGTGTGGGGCAAGCATCTGGCACAGTGGTTACATGATATCTGATTGCCTGGGCTCAGATCCTGTTCTGTGTCCAATCCTGGCTCCCTGCCATGGGCATGGGAGACGCAGATCGCAGATCGAGTTTCAGATTCCTGGCCTGGCCCTTGTGGCTCCAGGCCTGCTTCACTCTAAGTAAATGTACCTGGCGAGGGAGCTCTAGGCCTCTCCCTGCTGCGCAGTCTGGAGATCCTGTGAGATGGGGATACTCAGTTTCCAGTGTCACTGCCTCAGCCATTATAGCTCTTGGCCTGAAGGCGTCTTTGTGTCGGTGCAGTTCAGCCAGCTTCCGCTCCTAGGTCTGTGCCGTGGTGTGCCCTGGGAGGTTCGGGTGCCCAGTGTGGGCATATCCCAGTGGCACTGCCAGGAACATCTTCCTGTGTGCACAGCTCGTGACACAGGCACAACCTTCATGCCCAGCCATACTTCCTCCAGGTGTATCTAGCAGAATGACCAGGGCAGACAGTGGCTGCTTTTACAGTTGAACAGATAGTGCCAGGGAGCCTTGCAAGAGAGTGAACCATCTTCTATTCCTGCTTACTAAGGTGCTGGCCTCCTCATTCTCCCCTGCATTGCCGGGCACCAGAGTTTTGGCTTCACTAGCCTGAGCAGAGCAGGAACACAATTTTTCATGCCCCTTTCGTGTTCATCACTCCCTCATTGTGGGATCAGAAATAGTCTAGGTAATGCTTTCAGGATATTCCCACAAGCAGGTACACACAGGACTCCAAACCTCACCTTTCCTCAAAAAAAAAAAAAAAGGATGTTTCAAGCAATGACTATTCACGGGTATTTTTAAGACCTGAACTTACTAAATGTCTTCTTAATCCATAGCATACCATCCTCAGTCCATACTGAATTCTGCTTACCGTCTCCTCTCCGTCATCTCTAGTTCCCACCTGCATCTCCCGCCTTCACTTCCCTTGCTGCCAGAGGCACCTGCTGTGTGCTTGGTTTATGTCCTTGTATGGCGTGCAGTGTTGCTGTTTAGTGCGTTGGGGAGAGCCCGTGTTTCCATACTGGGGCCACGTGACCTCCATTGCCACTTCCACCCTGCTGAACTCAATGGGTCTCTGTTAGCTTTGTGGGCCTCAGCCCGCTGCTTCTCAAATCACTACTGGGTTAAGTGCAGAACACACTCGCGGGTCCTTGCCTCAGGGCCTCCTAACTAACTGTTTAGTATGTAGGATTCTCTCCTTAGGGCAGACACCCAAACAGAGTGCTGGCAGCAGAGAGCGTGAACTTCTTTCCAAGGCTTTGCGTGGCCGCATCTGTCCTCCTCTCCCGGCAGGTAGGCCGGCTTGCCTGGCGTCAGGAGCCGGAGCATACCACTTCCCCTAGGCCACCAGAGTTCTGCACTGCACAAGCATCGCAGCCCTCAGACGCCCTCTGACCTTCTGCTCCCACGCTTCCTGATGACTGTTCCGGAGTTTGCAGCTACAGTTTACATTCTGAAAGCCGTGTATTTCCCTGATGCCTCAGCAGTCCCATAGATAGTCCCATAGACAGCCCATTCAAGGCCACTGTTGCTTTAGGCTGATCCTGCCCTTTTGGCTGGGCCTTGACTGTGCCCTGGTTTGAATGAGTACCTTGTTGAAACCCCATCATAGCAGGGATTTGTGTTCTGTCCCGGGCCCCTATAAAGGTACCTGGCCACATGCCCTCCTGTGAGACCCGAGAGGGTTGCTCTGCTGTGCCCTTGACCTCCTTCCTGCCTGAGTTTGCAGTGGTCCTGTCCTCGTCGCCAGCCCTGTTGGTGAACAGCAGGGCCTGTGAGGAGCACTGCCACCACACTGTCAAGAAAATCACACCAGAGACACCTGTGAAATTCTGTCACTTATTATACCCGCAGGCCCTAGAGAGGGAGCCGTGGCGTGCCTCGCAGGAGCCACGTGGGAGGAGCTGCGAGGGAGTGAACTCAGCTAAGCAGGTGGAGGGGCACGGCAAGTGCCCTTTTTGGGGTTCAGGGAGGAGTGCAAAAAGGCATGAGGAGAGTTTGTGGGTGTGTCTGGATGTCACTGGGTCTCCATCAGAGGCAGATGAGAAGGGGAACTTGGGACAAGGGACCAAGTTTGTCACACTGATACATCTGCTCACCTGAGCAGGGTGTGCGTAGCCTAGTTGTCAAGAAGCAGAGACGGAAGGAAAATAGCAGGTTTTAAAAACTTAAACAGCCTTTATCTTATCTCACTGCATTTAAACCAGATTGTTTTGATGTAGTTTATAAAAACTGAATTGAACAGTAAAGGAAAAGCAAAAGAAACTGGGATAAAGAGAATCAAATGAAATCACCTGAAACAAGCCTTGAACTAGGGCCTGCCCCAACAGCTGGGCTCTGCAGCCCTGGGCCTTGGGCGCCTGTGGGAGAGGAGCCCAGGCCGTGGGTCTGCTACACAGAGGGCAGAGTGAAGGTGCAGGCCGCCCAAGAGGTCTCTCCTGAGGGCCAGCAACATCCTGTCCCAGCGCAGCCCCCATGCCCCAGTGCTGACCAGAGTCCCCAGCACGGGGACCTCAAGTCTTTTCTGACTCCCTCTCAATCACAGCTACCCTCCGCTCCTGGCACTCCCTTTGCGCCCACAGCTCTGGGCTTCTGGGTCTCACTCTTGGCCTGCATGCCTACACTTGTACCCAACTCTGTAGACTTTGGCACCTGCCTCTGTACACTGCCCCCAACAGATAACACCCCCTCTCCTGTCCTTCGTAGGTTTCTGTCCTGTGGTTGATAGGCTGTGCCCCATCCCTGGTCAACAGCAGCAGCTGTCCCCCTTCAGTCTCTCTCTACCCTGCTTTGTGTTTCTTGCTTGCGCCTATCCCCCTGGGAGTGAGTGTGTGTGTGTGTGTGTGTGTGTGTGTGAGTGTGTGTGTGTGTGGCATCTCCCTCCTTTGTTGACACACGAGCTCTGTGTGGACAGGGCCTCAGACTCGCTCCTTGCTCTATCCCTACTGTTTAGCATGTAGCAGACAGACAGTAAGCGTGCGCTGACTGACTGGTGGGGGGGGTTTGGGCAGGGGGTCAAGGAAAGTACCAGTGAAGGTTTCTGGGCTGAGGGCTGGACAGCCCTCGGGGAGGGAGGGAGCTTGCCCAAGATTACAGAAGAGTGTGCGCCCAGGCTGGCTGTGGGTGGGATCACAAATGGCACCGTGGCCAGCTCGGCTCTGCTGTGATCACTAGAGGGCCTCACCTTAGGGGAGCAGAGGGGTGCTGCATTGAGGCTTTAAGCTGGGGAGCCGTAAGATCAGGCAGATACTGATTTCAAAGCCACCCTCTCCAAGAACTGCAACATCCCAACACGCAGCATATCACTCCTCCTGAAGCAGCAGAGGAAGAGGTGGGAGCTGTAGGGCATTGCCCAAGTCCAAAGTCAATAGCATGGTGACAGCTGGAACGCAATATTTGCACTTAGTGAGACCCAGAAGCAGCTGTCAGGGGTGGTGTCCTAGCTGCTGGCTGCCCTCCCACGGTCCACAGGGTCATGAGGTGTGCTGTAACTGGCACGCTGGTCCTTGGTGGCCATGCTTCAGGGGCTTCCAGGATTCTTGGTCAGGGAGGAGGAAATGTGGAAGAGGGCTCTTGAGACTCTGGGCACTGGCGGGATAACCTGCCGGGCGCCAGGCTGCCTTGAGCTACCTTGGGAGCTGTGCCTACAGGCCTGACATAACCCCCTTGTGTGCAAAGCTGCGGGAACCTGAGTGCCCCTGGTGTGTCTGAGATAGCCCGCTGTGTCCAAAGGGGTGAGCCTAACCTCCGGAAGAGCAGTGGGGACTCTGGGTACCTCCTGGCCATGGGCAACCCTGACTTCCTGTTTCTTTTTGTATTTCTGCCTCAGATATTTTCCCAGGAGTACATCAACCTCTTGCTGTCCATGTATTTCTTCGTGCTGGGAATCCTGGCCCTGTCCCACACCATCAGGTCAGAAGGATCTCTACACCATTTGAAGCAGCTCTCTCGGGAGTCAAGACAGGGTCTCGGATGACAGTATGACCCTGGTGTCGCTCAGAGCCAGGTTTGAGCCCTGGCTGTAAAGCCCAAGGGACTCTTCCTTTCCCTAGTGTTGCGCCAGAGGTGACCCAGTACAAAAGCTGTAACCTCTCGAGGCCAGTTTCCCTGGACCTGGGAAGAGTGTCCAGTGGGGGTTGCCTGCACTGAGGTTGGCAGGGAAGCGATCTGTGAGTGGTTGTCATGGTATGAGGGCCACCCACTGAGCACTGTGCTAGGTCCCTCACTCACCCTGTGTCTTCGGTCCTAATGAACAAGTGGCAGAAGAGGGAGGGGTCCAGGCTCTGGAATGGATGCAGACTGCCACTCTGACATCCTGTGACCCTGGCAAGTGACTTGGTCTCAGGCTTCAGTTTCTTCATTAATCGAGGGAAGTAACAGTAGCTTCCTCACAGGGGCATCAGGAAACTTCTCCCCCATTATCCAGCCCTTAATAGGCTCACTAACTCTGAACTGTTACAACTTCTGTCTTCAGCTTTGGTCATCTGCCAGACAACCTTAAGGGGTTAACTGGCTTTCAGTCCTGTGTCACGCCCAGAGAAGATAAGAAATACTGCTGGGATCACACAGCCAGTGGGGGACAGCAGGATTGTAGCCCCAGTCTGCGTAGCCCCAGAATGTCTTCCCACAGCAACCCTTTCCAGATGGCCCTGAGCTCATTCTGTGGGGAGGAGTGACCCAGGCCGGTGTGCCTGATGGGGCTGCTGTCGGCATCTGGGACAAGCCTTTTCTCCACACTGCCAGATTGCATGTGGCATGCTGTCCTCCTCCACTCGAGTGGAGCCCCTGGCCTCTCTGGAGCTGTGGTATCCTGCAGATGCCCCAGCCATCACTTCAAGGTGGCAGAGCCTCAGGCTCAGAGCCACTGGTGGACCAAGCCTGGTAGGCAAATCAGAAAAGGAACCTAGCTGGAACTTGGCTTTGAAGGGTAGGAAACCTGGAAGAGGTACAAAAGGGACAGGCCAGACCTGGCACTGGAAGGTCCGAGAGCACTGAGGCACAGACTGGATATTCCTGAAGCAAGCACAGGAGAAACTAAGGAGAAGGTGCAGGAACCTTCTCACAGAAGCATTGAAAGTTGAGGTTGCTATGGCCTTGTCTCTAGGGACAGCGCTGCAGCCATGTGGTGGCCGGACCATGAGCTTGAGACACAGGCAGCCTGGGACCCAGACCTGGCTCTCCAGCTCTACTGGAGCCTCAGTTTTCCTATGTATAAAATGGGGGAGGCTACAGGCTGCAGCCAGTGTGCCGAGAGCACAGGAACAGCCGGCAGCAGGTTGAGTGGCTGGCCCACGGTTACACAGCAGCGACGGCAACTCTGGCATTCTGACCAAGTTCAGTCTTGACCAGAACTGACCCTTCACCCACAGGATGTTACTTTCGCCACTTGGAGAGAATTTTGGCTCTAACCCCCTGCCAATCCTAAAAGAAGGCGGTCCATGGGGCCAGAGGGAAAAGAAGAGAAGTTTGGGATTAATTCCAACACCATGAGAGAACAGGAAGCAGGCTCAGTGTTCCCTGTGCAGTTGAAAACTGCAGGTCAGGAGCTGGGGCACCAGGCGCACAGGAAGGCTAGGGAAGAAGGTAGACTGGCCCATGATGCAAAGTAGCCAATGTGGGCTGTTTATACTGTATGCATGTGTTAAAATACACGTGGAATACAGTATACCTCACAAAATGGCATGGCATGTTACCTGAAAATGTTTTAGAAAGGCAAAAAAGAAGCCCAGCAAACTTCAAGTGACCCAGGCAACCTTGCTGGCAAGAGGGATAGTCACTGTGGTCATTGGGTCTCCCATTGTCCTTCCCATCCCAGCAACTCTATAAGGATTGGAGCTCTGAGGTTCCCCTAGAGCTCAGCTCTTCCCCTCTTAGTGACAAAAGCCATGTGCCACTTCATCCCAGCAGCACACAGAACTCTTCGTCCAGCTGCACAGGTGGCGGGCTTTGAACTTCTGCCATCTTGACCCTTTCCAGTTAGAATAAGAACTGTGGGACACTGTCCCAGATTTCTTAAGAGATTGGCCAAGAAACAATTGTCTTTTTGTCTTGGGCAGTTCAGTTTGAATAATCATAGACACTGTCAACAGAAAATAAAACCAAGAGCAACTAAAATTGCACATGATACAGTTTATTGTTAATGTCTTGTAATTGACAGAAGACTAATCTTAATATTTAGAGCAACAAAATTTGATCTGGAAAAAGTGGACACTATAAAAACAGTGGATGGCCATGGGCAAAAAGGATGTGGGCAGTTAACCATGTGAGGTCAGAGCAGCCTACTGGAAAATCTGATCAGAATGGAAAACTGTCCCTTGAATGAAATCATTGCTGTAAAATTCACAGGGAAAAGAACTGAATCTACTGAGAATAATTTCAGTAAAAGGGGGTAGGATATAATTTAATCATGGAATTAAATCGATTTTTATTGATTTAAATTGGGCTTCCTTCAATACTTTTCTCAAAGTCTACAGTGTTTGAGTTTTGATGAATTGTTGGTATCTATCCCTTCCACTAATTCCAAACAGCCAAGTCCAGACCTTGGGAAAGGGAAGTCGAGGCCCAGAGGACTCATGTGACCAGCAGACCCACAGCTGCTGAGGGTGCAGTGAGATGTTGAACCCAGAGCAAGTGCTCCCAGCAGGGGCCAAAGTGAAGGGCAAAGGCAAGCGCAGAGTGTAGGCTGCCTGCCGGCTGTTAGGGGGTCAGCAGAGGAGGGGCACCCTAAGCCAACTCAGCCCAGGTCAAGCTGTTCCACAGGCGTCTTCCGACCCACCCCAAGCCTCTTGGGGACAGACCAGAGCCATGGGCACTTGGGAAGGCCACAGCTAGTCTGCCTTCACCTCACACAGTCACCAGAACTCGAGCCCAAATCCCAGAGAGCCCTGCCTGTCAAAGTGCCCTCTCTGTGCTTGTCGCCTCTGGCTGGGCGTGTCCCACCCAGCTGGCTGTCAGAGGACAGAAGGCCCAAGCTTGGCACCCCCGGAAGAAGGCTGAGGTGTCACTGACCCCAACCGTGAGGCTGCTTGGAGTCCTTAGCTGAGGCCCAGAAGCTTCTGCCTGCTCCACGCAGGCGTCCAGAGGTGTTCCACTCAACGGCACCAGGCCTGGAGGAGTTGGGTGAAGATGGTGACCTAAGCCAGGTCACCTGACTGCCCCCTGTTGCACAGCTTCTCTCCTCAGAGGGACTGATGGTGGCCTTTCCGTAGGCCCTCGGAGGGAGGGGTCCTCAGGACTCCCCAGGCCACCTCTAGTAAGTGGCAGAGCTCAGAAGCATCCTCCCCAAGCTAGTGAGAGCAGTCTTTCAGGCACCTTGGTGCCTCCTCCCACACCTGCACACACCCACCTCTGGCTCAACTCCTGGAGAGCATTCAGCAAGGCGGGCTGAAGTTTCCTGCCTCCTGGGAGCCCTGCTCTGAGTGACAAGGGCTTCGTCACTCATGGCACAGGCCTGCAGCTGACCCCGAGTTGGTGGATGAAGGAACCACGACCCCAAAGTGCTTGTTCCAGGGCTGCAAGGCTGAGCTGCAAGGGTTTCCAGCCACTCCATTGTACCGCCACCTCCTGTGACCAGACAACCCCCAGAGCCCTTGATTTGCTAATCCTGCTGTGGTGATAACTCCGGAGAAAGTTTCCGTTCCTGCCTGGCCAGGAAGTGGGGTCTGCAGGATGGTCAGCACGCTCCAGAGCCCAGGCCAAGCAAGTGCTGAGCCACAGACCTGGCAGGAGGAGAGTGAGCAGAGACCTGCCCGGGGGCTGCCACTTGAGGCCAAGGTGATGTGCAGGGCAGGGTGGCGGGGCTGTCCCAGCATCTGCGACTCCTCGCCAGCCGGCGGGCAGGGGACTCAGGTGGCCCGTGTCCCCAGTGTGGCGCTCTCCCCACTTTGTCCTTCCTCTGTGCCACCCCGCGTCCCTCTGGACTCTCCCTGAGCTCGTTCCCAGAGGTTTACAGCGGAAACCCCACTCACCTCGGGCAACAGCGCACAGGAGGGGAGGGGTGAGGCTGGGGCCGCCTGTGGAGGGCTCGCTCCGTGCCGACCTGCTCTGTTTTCCTTCTAGCCCCTTCATGAATAAATTTTTCCCAGTCAACTTCCCCAACCGCCAGTACCAGCTGCTCTTCACACAGGGCTCTGGGGAGAACAAAGAAGGTCAGTGCCCACCTGGTCCGCCCTGGGTGTCCCCCACCTGCTCCGCCCTGGGTGACCCTTCAGCCCGGGACCCTGGGGCTGCCTTGCCTCTCTGAGCGCTGCGTTTCTCGATTCTTTCTCATCTGTAAAGTGAAATCAGAAACCCGGTACCTAGTACCTCCTCCACGAAGCACGCAAGAACGCCAGGCAAGCACTAGGCACACGGCCTGCCGGACAGTCGTACTGTCCCGCCCGAGAACGGAAGGGAGGGTCCACAGGCTTGTGGAAATCATCGGGAACCGAGGGGATCCAGGGGCGTGCGGGCGCTTTCGGCCTCCCAGCGGGCAGCCACCCAAGGCTCCCTTTCGCTTCCCCAGGTTTTTGTTTTTTAAAAGCTTAGACTCACACCATAGTCTTGGGGGTCCCCGGCCTCTTCAGCCGCATGCTACGCGGTCTAGGATGACAGTCCCAGCGCAAAGGGCCTGCGTACCGCACGGCACGGAGGTCGTGTGCAGACGCCGGCTGGCCAGTGTCCACTAGACATGGCGGTTCACCCCCGCGTCCTCTTCCGGCAACCAAGAAGGATGTGTGGTCACTTCCTGCGCAAGCCCCACCCTTTCCGCTGCCAGCGCCAACGCGGGGTTTGGAAGAGCGGAAGTCGGAAGTCGTCACGCGTCCACAGGGCCGTAAAGCACGACTGTTTTCTGTCGCCTTCCGGCTAGCGACAGCGGCTACAGACTTGCCGGCCGGTCCCAGGTTAGCACCCGGATTATGTTCCAGAAGTTCGACGAGAAGGAGATCGTGTCCAGCTGTGTCACCTGAAGACGTCGGTGACCAAGAGCATTGAGAGCCAGCCCAGCGAGCAGTTCCCAAGCCTGACACTGTGGCTGGGTGCGATCGTGCCCCAGTGGAAGCCGGTGAGGGGTGTGCGATGCCACGAGCCGTCCATGGGGAGCTGCTGGCCTTCAGGCAGATGAGAGCACCCTCCTACCTGACCCTGCGGCTGCTGCGCAAGTATCACCAGGTGCACACGGGACACATCATGTACCTCCCATCGTGGTGGTGATGGCCGAAGGGCAGGCAGCACGCCCTGTGCGTGGACGTCGTGAAGCTCTCGGCGGAGGACATGGACCAAGTCAACACGGGCATTGGCATCGAGAAGGTCCACCACCTCCACGATGGACCACAGCACACGGAGACCTGCAGGGAGCCCCGGGGGCGGCGCGAGTGCCTGCCTCCAGCGCCAAGGCTCGGCTTCCGCCACGCCGGCTGCATTCATCAGGGGTCTGTTTTCACAAAGCAGAGAGCAGAGCTTAAGAGAGGAACAGGAGGCCGCTCTGTGGCACCCGCACCATCTTCCTTGGCCTCCACCTCAGATGTCTTGCCACCCCCAGGATGTCTGCCAGAGCCGCTGCCCCGGCCTCCTCCGCTCCCACCTCCTGCCTCCCCTGCTAGTCAACCAGGGTTGCTAGCAACGTTTTTGATGCGTTTGGAAGACTCCAGAAGGACTCGGTTGCCAGCTAACAGAGCACTGGCACGCATGACACAGCCGCCGTATCCCAGACACTGTGCTGACCACCCCAGGGGGACCTTACTCTCCTTCACTGCCTCTGAGGGAGGGACAGTTATTTCAATGTCTGCAAAGGAGGAAGCCAGCGCTCAGAGAGGGAACTGCCTGCCCGCACCCCTCGGGCTACCCCACCACCAGGGGCCAAGCCCAGGTCTCCAACCCCAAGCATCCCCTTCCCTGGCACCTGTCCCAGGCCCGCCCATGTTCTCTCTAGGCCACCATTACATCCTTTGCAGACTTGGAGGGGGGCAGGAAGCTAGCCCTTGCTCTGTGGGCTCCTGACAGGGACCCCCAGCTGGGCCCTTTCCCCACCCAGGGGCTGGCAGGGGGCAGGGCAGCCCCACCCCGGAGAGGGCACTGACCGAGTCTCTCTGCTCAGAGATCATCAATTACGAGTTTGACACTAAGGATCTGGTGTGCCTGGGCCTGAGCAGCATTGTTGGTGTCTGGTACCTGCTGAGGAAGGTGAGTGGCTGGGGCCGGGGTACTGGGGCAGGATGGGGGTCTGGGCAAGACACGGGACAGGGCAGGGACCCACTGAGCCACTCCCCCCCCCCCCCCCCCCCCGCTCTCCCCAGCACTGGATCGCCAACAACCTGTTCGGCTTGGCCTTCTCGCTGAACGGGGTGGAGCTCCTGCACCTGAACAACGTGAGCACAGGCTGCATCCTGCTGGGCGGCCTCTTCATCTACGACGTCTTCTGGGTGAGCTGGCACAGACACCCTGGGGCTCCCCGGCCTCAGACTAAAGCGGGGACCACAGGCAAAGCCTCCCCCCAGCCAGGCTGGGAGCCAGAGGGTGGATTCCATGTCCAGGAGGCTGTTTGCTGCCTCGCGCCTCACCGCCACTGTCCCGTCTTCCTCACAGTGGCACCTACAGGGATGTGACTTCATCACCTGTCACCTTGACAAGTGGGAGTGGGGTGCATAGAACCTCGGGCAGGGGGCTAAGTGCAGACGGCAGGGCCAGGCCGAAGGGTGGCTGTGCTCTGGCTGCATGCCAGAGCTGGGCCACTGGACTGTCATGTTCATTCCTGGAGGGAGGGAGGAAGGGAGGTTGCCTGGCCCCTCACAGCCTCTCCTCCCCGTGAGCAGACAGGCTGCACAGCCTAGGCTGTGAGGACAGCTTGCCAGTGGCCACCTCACGTCCACCGCAGACGGCCCCTGCTCCTGCCCGGCTTGGGCAGCACACCTAGAAGCCAGGGACAGCTGCCCCTGCCCACTCTCCTCCAAGCTCTTCTTCTTCTAGGTGTTTGGCACTAACGTCATGGTGACAGTGGCCAAGTCCTTTGAAGCACCAATAAAATGTAAGTGAGCTGCTCTCCCTCTCCTGGAGAACCCTTCCCCAGGTTCCCTTCCCACCCTGTGGTCGCTGTGGTGGTTAGCACCTCCCTGCATCTCTGTTCCACCTCTCAGCTCTCAGGGCTCTCTCCAGCCCGGTGGCCTCCTGTCAGTGGCTAATCTGGCCAGGTTCAGGTCCGTGAACAGCCGCTCTCCCAGCAGGCTGCAGTGAGTGTGGTATGAAACGAGGAAGTCAGAGAGCAGGTGTCCCGAAGCACCATGCCAGGACCGTAACATCACACACTGGGGTCCCCTCAGCACTCTTGGCCCCCAGGTTCCCATGCCATGCCCCCCAGTGGTATTTCCCTTCAGGATGCCCACTGCTTCTGTTAGGAAATTCAACTGTTGGCATCTTTCCATAGGGAGAGATGTTGTCATCCCCCACTACAGCAAACCAAGGGGTAGAGCGGAGTTACTGTGAGCTCACCACCCCTTCTCGGCACGGACCCACGCCTGTCACTAGGTTTTCCATGGTCTCTAAGGTGGCTGCCAGGCCTTGGCACCAATTCACTCCTCCCACCACGAGGTGCATGTGGCTCATCAGGGAAAGAAAGTCCTCCTAGAATCCCTCTACAGCTCCCAGCATATTTCCTTGGCCAAAATTGGGCCACGGAGCCAAGTACAAACCATGCCTTCACACAGGGGACAGGGACTCTGGGTCTAAGGCTCAGGCTACAGAGAGACACCCCACGGGCACAGGGCTCTCAGGTGCCGACTCAGTCACAGGATAGAGAAGGAAAAGGAGGGTGCCATTGGAAGGTTGTCTGCCGGAGCATATGCTGTGGGCAGGCAGTCTGGGAATGGAGAAATGGCCGCCACCTCCTCCATGGCACAGACAGCTTTCCTGCAAGAGCTACGGAAGGTTCTTCAGAGGGATGGTCGCCAGAGCCAATATTCCCCACGCACTTTGACAAGGGCACCCAGAGAACCCAGCCGAAGTGCCGGGGTGGTATGAGTTGTTCACAATGGGCAGATGCACATTACCAAGTTCATAGCCTGCAGGCGCTTGCAAGGCTGAATAACATCCACAGAGCGCTGGGGTAGTAAGCACAGAGAGTCCTGGAGCCAAGAGCCAGCAAAGAGGTGCAGCTCAGGTCAGGCAAGGCAGCAGAGACCAGGTGGGGAAGAGATGTCAGGGCCGGGATTGGTGGAAGCCCCCAGGCACTCTGCCAGCAGGGAAACAGAGGGGTCAGTCAGATGTAGCATCTTGTTCCTCTGCTAGGCCTAGAGGAGACGCGGCCATCAGGCGGCCATTTCTCCATTCCCAGACTGCCTGCCCATGGCCCCTGCTGCCAGGGCGCGTGCCCCCTGCAGACAGCCTGGAGCTTGAGGGCAGGAAAGTGAAATAGCCTGGCTCTGCCCACCGCAGCAGGATGAGCAGATGAGTGATAAGCTCTGTGCACTCAAGCCCGGGAAGAGCGAGCAGGGCAAGGAGAGCTTCATATCACTGGAGGAGCACAACCTACCCAGAATCCCAGTGGTTAATCTGTGGGCGTACTGCTGACCACCACCCCACCCCACCCCCAAAGCTGCAAAGCAGGCAGGGAATTCAGGAAGGACTGTGCTGAATGGCCTGGCCTCCCTCCACACTGGACCCCTGGGGTCCTAGAGTAGGCAGCAGAGGGCAGCACTGAGCAATGTGTGCTTGTCCTCTGGTCCTCAGTCAGTTGGGTCACCTGCACAGCACTCCGCAGAGACCCTAAAGCTGGTTGGAATTACTCTTGGGCTCACCCAGCCCTGTGAGTGGACGCCAGCCATGGCCACAGCCACCTCCTGCCGTAATGGGGCCCAGCAGGGACGCTGGTCTCCCTAGGCCCTGTTGATCCAGACAAGTGGAGCTGCTGAGGGAGGGCCTTCATGCAAGGGATTTGCAGGCCTCCGGCCTCCTCCCCCAGGCCCACCGTGCGAGGGCCTGCTCGACATCAGCCTGGGTGCCTGTGGTCTCACGAGTCGGGCTTCTCCTTCACCCAGAACACTGCAGCTGTGAGCAGGCTTGGAAGTTGTACACTCAGCCCTCAGCCTGGATGATCCAGCTTCCTCCAGCTGGCCATGTGGAGACATGGTCCTCAGCTTCTCAGCATCCTCTTGCTTCCCCAGCCCTGGCCCGGCAGCCAGAAACAGAATGTGTGTGTGTGTGTGTGTGTGTGTGTGTGTGTGTACACGCTACAGGCCAGGGGCTTGGGGGTCAGTGCTGGCCCGCAACTGACACTTCGCACTCTTACCTCCCCTGCAGTGGTGTTTCCCCAAGACCTGCTGGAGAAGGGCCTCGAAGCGGACAACTTCGCCATGCTGGGCCTGGGAGACATCGTCATTCCAGGTGACTGCTAGAGGAAGGGGGCACTCAGCGCAACCAGTCTTCCCTGGGGTCCAGGAACCAGCCAGGTGTCAGAAAAGGATTTTGGCAACTTCACACCACACACACACACCCTACCCCCTCCACCCCACCCCCAAAGTGACCCCTACTAGACTACAGGGAGCTGTCCTCATAGTGACGTCACCTGCTGGACAGCCCCAGAAGCACGGGGGACATGGCCGCCCACAGGAGTTTGATCCCTCCCAGACTGTCCCAACGTTGTGCAGGCTCTGAACAGCACACACACATTGGGTGCTTGTAAACTGCTGACTTGATGGCCCTGCTCTCAGCAGAGGGGCAAATGCACGTGCCCACTCAGCTACCCGGGCTTCCCTGTGAGTCCCTGCCTCGATGTAGGGGTTGCTGGTCAGAATAGTTTGGCCTTGGGTATGGTCCCCAGGATGGGCACCTGGCTCCTATTGCCAGTTCCTGGCCTCGCCTTGCCCCAAGCAGGCCTGAGGGCACAGACTAGCCACCATGCTCTCTCAACAGCTGCAGAGCAGGGCCCGGTGCAATGGCTCAATGGCTAAATCCTCGCCTTTCAAGTGCCAGGATCCCATATGGGTGCTGGTTTGTGTCCCGGCTGCTTCACTTCCCATCCAGCTCCCTGCTTGTGGCCTGGAAAAGCAGTAGACAGTGGCCCAAAGCCTTGGGATCCTATACGTGTGTGGGAGACCCAGAAGACCCTGGCTCCGGATTGGCTCAATTCCAGCCTTGTGGCCACTTGGGGAGTGAACCAGCAGATGGAAGGTCTTTCTCTGTCTCTTTTCTCTGTATATCTACCTTTCCAACAAAAAAATAAATAAATAAATCTTTAGGGGGAGGAAAAAACTACACTCATAGTCCCCTGGTCCCTTTTTTTTTTAATTTATTTTTATTGGAAAAATAGATTTATAGGGAAAACGAAAGATCTTCCATCCGCTGATTCATTCCCCAAATAACCACGTGGCCAGAGCTGAGCCAATTTAAACCCAGGAACCAGGGGCTTTTTTCAGTCTCCCACATGGGTGCAGGGACCCAAGGACACTTGGACCATCTGCTGCCGCTTTGCTAGGCCACGTGCAGAGAGCTGAACGGGAAGTAGAACAGCCAGGATATGAACCTGTGCCCATATGGTATTCCGGCACTTCAAGAGAGGGAGTATTAGCCAGTTGAGCCATTGCACTGGTCCTGAAATGTTGATCTAGTCCCAGCATCATGGAAGTGTTTTGTTCAGTGAGGAGACAAGCTCGGAAGGGAAGGAAGGATAGCAGTTGAGCCAAGCCCAGACTCGGGCCCACGATGTGTGTGACTGTGCTCAGACTGTCACTTCAGAACTGTTCCAAGGACAGTGAGCACAGCGAGATGGCCATCGCCACAGCCCAGGTGTGTGTCCCAGCACACACCTGCTGTGTGTGGGATGGTGTTCTGACTACACTGGCGGTGCCCTGACAGCAGGGGGTGTTTCCATCTTAGAGAAGCGGCCGCTGAACTCCAAAGATGGCACCCACACGTACTTCCTCATAGCCCTGCTTGTCATCATATGGGCCTGAACACTCACAGGCCAGCCCCATACCCCCTACCTCTGTGTGGACAAGGGACTTGAAAACATTCATGGGAAATAAAATCCAGAGTTTATTTTGGCACCAAAACAAAAGCAGCTTTTTTTTTTTAATTGGAAAGGCGGATATACAGAGAGGAGAGACAGACAGGAAGATCTTCCGTCCGACGATTCACTCCCCAAGTGAGCACAACGGCCGATGCTATGCCGGTCCGAAGCCAGGAGCCTCTTCCGGGTCTCCCACGCGGGTGCAGGGTCCCAAAGCCTTGGGCCGTCCTCGACTGCCCTCCCGAGCCACAGGCAGGGAGCTGGAAGGGAAGCAGGGCCCGGGATAGAACCGGCGCCCATATGGGATCCCGGGTGTGCAAGGCGAGGACCTTAACCACTGCGCCACCGCGCCGGGCCCAAAAGCAGCTTTTTGAAGGCCCCTTGTATGTGCCCTTTGAACTCTGAAGCCACAGTAAGTTAAGTCGCAGACCCAGGAAAGCATGTATCAGCCCAAGCAGGTGACCAGGACCGCTTACACCTGGCCCAACACTGGCCTGCTGAGTAGTTGGAGAATTTGGCCTCCAGGGGGCGCTAAGTGCCCAGCTTTGTTTCCAGCACTATTGTGTTGCTGCCTGCCAGTTCCATCTCCACTGACACTGGGCTCTGTCCTGTGTTGAAAGTTAACTGTTGCCAGTTCAGTCCTTCTAACAGAGTCAAATGCTTCGGTTCTTATTTGATAGGCAGAGTTACAGAGAAAAAGGAAACGAGATTTTCCATCAGCTGACTAACTCCCCAAATACCCACCACAGCTGGTGTTGGGCTGAGCGGAAGCCAGGTCCTGGAAGCTCTGTCCAGATCTCCCATGTGGGTGGCTGGGGCCCACACACTTGGACCATCTCCCTCCACTGCTTATATAGGTGCATGAGCAGGGAGCTAGATTGGAAGTGGAGCAGCTGGGACTTGAACTTGCGTTTATAAAGGGTGCTGGCATTGCAGGTAGTGGCTTCACTGTGCCATCCACCACACTGACCTCAATATTTCAGTTCTTGAGATCTTACCCTCAACTTCATGGGACGTGGACTCCACCCAAAGACCAATGAGGGGCAGAAGTACAAGCAGCCGGCTTGCCTTGGGCACGCATGCACTCAGTGAGCTAGACAGGATGGCAGCGCATGGGCAGCCCACCAGCGCTGTGCTCCGCTTCCCCCATCGGAGGTGTGTGTCACATCTCCACCCCACCCCCACACACCGCCCCTACCTCATCTTCCCTGTGTCGCCAAGTGCTTAGCAGGCACCTGCTATGGCACAAACAGGATGACCGCCAGCACCCAGCCCTGATGGCTGCCCGCGACCTGGAGGGCTGGCAGGCACTGGGTGGCTGCTGCTCTGTAACCCAGCTTTCCCCCACAGGGATCTTCATTGCCTTGCTGCTGCGCTTTGACATCAGGTAAGAGCAAGGGCCTTGCCTGTGGCTTCTCAAGGGGCTCCACAGTGGTTCTCGGGAGCCCCCGGAGGGGCCAACCCCCCCACCCTGCTGAGCAGTCCCCGTTGACATTCAACATGTCAATGTTGCAGAACTGTCATAGAGACCTGGTTTTCAAATTGGGAACACCAGGGCAAGGTACTTCAGCAAGGAAGGTCTTGCGGTCTGTGGCCTTTTTCACTGTGCAGCCTCAGCCCGAGTTAGTGGTGCACAGCTCTGCCACAGGATCACCGCCAGAGGGCGAGTGCGAGCTGACCCCAGCGGCTCCTGGGGAACCCAGCTGCTGTCGTCTTTCTTGGCATCCCTGTTTCCATCCTGGGGTCAGGGTCCCACGTCCCCTGCATTACAGGAAATAGGCCTTGGTCAGAACCAGAGGTCATGTCTCAGTTCACACCTGAATGGCTGCGTCTGCCAGCAGTGAGTAACCCCGGCACTCACTCTGTCATCTTGGGCTCAGTCAGCCCGAGCAGGGCTTGCTGTGTCAGCTCCTCACTCTGACAGCGCAGGGACGAAACAGTGCTAGCAGACCTGAGCTCATTTCACATCCAGGTGGCCTGTGTGGCGCCCGTTTAGAGCACATGGACACGGGGTTAGCAGGGGCCACCTTGGGAAGAGCCGGCCTGGTTGTAAGAAGAGGCCTGTGTGGGCCAGCCACGTGTGCTCCTGATTACACTAAGGCAACAGGACCCACCAGAGGCCCCTGGGCTCGTGGCTGGACAGAGGTATGGTTGCCAGCACCCACAGGACCGCATCTCATTCCAGCACTGTCTCCTCGGGACTGAGGCCAGAATATACAGCCTTCCCCTGTGGGATGCCACGGCACAGCTCTGAGGAGGGTTCTTGCTGCCAGGGCCCCTGAACACCAGGTCCGTCTGTAGTTCCTTCCCGATGGGGGGGACACACAGAGTCACAGGGTGGCACTGTCTGGGTGATGTGCGATTCGTGGTCTCTGCAGCTGTTAGTGGGTGACTCACCCAGGAAGCCACCTGCACAGCCAGCACCTCCCTGTCTCCATTGCACATCCCTCAACAACTGCACCTGCCAGCCTGGCACGCGGGGGCTGCGGGGAGGGTTTCCACGTTTATCTCAAAGCAGGCTCCACCAGTGTCGGCTGTCCCATGCCTCATCCAACAGCCGTGGGTCTGGATTAAGACATTTTTTGAATACTCGCAGCCTCTGGGGTGCTGGGTGTTTGGTTTTCCGATGTTCCAGATGAGTGAACTGAGGCTGAGACAAGGAAGTTAACTCATCTCCAGACCTAGCTGAGGGCAGTACCAGAGTCCAGCTCCAGGCTCGCGCTCAGGGCTCCCAGTGCCCCCCAGCTCCCGTCCTCTGCCCTGGCTGACCCCCGTGCTCTCCCTCCCCCGTCCCCTGCAGCTTGAAGAAGAACACGCACACTTACTTCTACACCAGCTTCGCAGCCTACATCTTCGGCCTGGGCCTCACCATCTTCATCATGCACCTCTTCAAGCACGCTCAGGTGAGCAGGCAGCGGGCGGTCCTCGGCATCCAGGTGCGCGCGCTGGCAACCGCCATTGTCACAGCTGTCCTACCACCAGAGCCTGAGCACTTCTCATGGCTGCAGGCAGGCTGCCCCTGCTGCCTGCCCCAGGAGGACAGACCATCCCAGTGGTGGCTCCTCCTCCCATCTCCTGGGCTAGCTTGGTGTGGCCACCTGGCCTCAGGGGAACCCAGTGCCTCTGTTTGTAGAGCAGATAGGACAGGATTGAGCTAGAGGATCCTGCACAGGCAGGTTCTCCCTCTGCTGGTGGCAGGAGCCCTGTGTGTCAGCCCCTCCTACCTGCGGCCTCTGTAGTCCAGAGGGTCCTGGTGCAAACATAACATGGAGACCAGGACAGCCACCTTGGTGATTTGGGGATGGACTAATGTAAGAGAACAGCCCCAAGCCGGCCCTGGCGCACCCTACGTAAGCTGTCCCTGCAGCACTCCACTTACCCAGGGCACAAAAATGGCAGGAGGAGGGTTCCAGAAATGAGCAGGTCATGGATTAGGAGTTGGGTACCATCCCAGGCAGAGGCTGAGGCCTCTCACCAGCCTGCCATGGTGTGAACCCTTATGTCCCTCACGCCCACCCGCTAACCACTGATATCACACTGAAGGCTTTTCATCACCATCCAGTCTCCGCATCCACTGGAACATGACCGCAAAAAGAATGGCACTGTGTCCCTCTCCCAGCACTGCCCACAGCCCCGTCCCCAGAGCAGCTCACTGTCGGTGACCGTGGGGGGGGGGCTCGCCTTGTGGTGGCCCCCTGAGGGAGGTGCGAGTAGTGGCCCTAGCCCAGGACCTTCACAAAGCATACCAACTTCAGCCCTGACCCACCTCAAGGGCAAGGTTAGCTAAGAAGGACACGGAGTTGGCAAGTGGGGACATGGTGATCAGGCCCATTCTCCACCATGTTAAGATTCTAAGCCCAGCTACCACCTTTGTGGCCCTGCGAGGCAAGCACCACTTGCAGTGTATATCTGAGTGTTGGTTCCAGCCCCCACTGCTCCATTCCTGATCCTGCTCCCTGCTAACGCACCTGGGAAAGCAGCAGAGACTGACGCACATGGGAGGTCCAGCTGGGCTCTAGCCTGGCCCAGCCCTGGCTGTTGACGTCATTTGGGGAGTTTAACCAGCTGATGGAACATATCTCCTCTGTCCTTGACCCTGTCTTGTTTCTGTTCTTATCCTCTGCCTTTTGAATAAATTAGGTCTTTAAAAGTGGGCAGGGCAAAGCCCCTCCACCCCAGCCCAGGTCAAGGACTCCAGTCCAAGCGCTGTTTCCTCCTCAGCCACCAGGTGGCAGGCTTGCCCTCCTCAGCCTCTCCTCAGGCTTGCCCTCCCATGCGTGCCTTCATCAGGCAGGGTGACAGGACCCTTGGCCTCCTAAGCCCCATCCCCAAGCCTGAGCCACTCCCCAGTGACCTCACCCCCAGCCCTTCTCCCAAGTCTCGGAGTAGGTTCTGTCGCACAGGTTCCTTCACCCTGGGAGGACATCCCCTGTGGTCCTCAGAGCCCTCGATGTGACTGGATGTGGCATCATGGTGCAGTGAGGCACTTGCTCAGAGTGGGAAACTGCGTGGCCCTGGCCGCACAGCAGGGCGGAGACCTCTTGAGCTCAGCTCTGCACCTGAGCCACACGCCGCCTCTCCTTCCCACTGCCCGTAGTGAGCTGGCTGCTGCCCTCAAGGCAGGAGCCCACCCTCTGCCCCCGGGAAGCCCCACGTTGGTCCAGCCAGGCTTTGAAGAAGACCCTCCTTCAGGCTGAGCGGCGGGGGGCTGGGTTCCCGCCCCACCAGCTGAAGACTTTGGACATTCCTTCCCTTTCTGAGCCTCAGGGTTTTCATCTGCAACATAGGGGTGAAGAAACCTCCTTTTCAAAAATCATACTGTTTTAAAGTTTTAATTATGTTTTGCTTTTGTTATTTTCTGTGGGTTCTTTTTGTTTGTTTGTTTTGCTTTTTGTTTTTTAATGTTTTTTTGGGAAGCAGGTGGCCACAAACTGAGCCCAGGGGCCACATGTGCTGCCGCCAAGGGCACTAGCAGGGAGTCAGATGGGAAGAACTGGGGGAGACTTGGATAATTCTACTGCAGGAATTCTGTCCCCCCTATACCCCACCTTGTGCCCCCGCAGCTGCCAAACCTTCCTGCCCCTTCCTCTTCACTGCCTCATTTAAAAACTCGAATTGCTTATTTTACGACTTTCCTGTTCTCTGATACATTCACTTTGGGTGATCCCAAGTGGCATGCTTCACAGCCCACCCGTGGAAAGTGCCAAGGAATGTTCTAAAGGTTGGACCTGGGACCACGGAGGGGGAAATGGCTTGGTTCTCTGGCCCAGGGCTGACTTTAGTTTAAGAATGAGGCTTCCTAAACTTGCCTCACTCAGTCTTAACTTGCCACCACCCAAGGAGGGAGCCATTCACCTCATGTCTCCCAAGCCACCTCTTGAATGCCAGGCAGGGCATGGAGCAAGGGGCATAGTTGGCCACGGGCAGTGCGAGGCAGCCAGCAGGTGAGGGCTTTGGGTGGCAGTGCCTGTGCCCTTCTCTGTCACATACTGCAGAGGATGCCAGCAGCGAGAGGAGACTGCGAGGGGCCCAAGCTGAGGCCACAGGACGGGGAGGAAACGAAGCGAAGAGGGGCAGGGAGACTGGCAGCGGGGGCTGCTGCAGCCAGAGTTGCAGGGCCAGGCACGGGGGACGGGGAAAGGAGGCAGGGCAGGCTCCCGGAGCTGCCAGATCCTGGGGTCATTGGGGCCTCCAGGGCAAGCAGCCACAGGAAGTCGGGCTTTACGGGGCACAGAGTCTGGGGTTCAAGCCCCTGGTATGACCCAGCACAGCCCGTGTCCAACCAGGTCACCTGTGCCATTGTCATAGCAGCATGTCCTGGGCATGCAGGCTTCCTGTCCCGGGAGGTCTGGCCTGATGCCCGGATAATTGAGAACCTGCAGCCAGACTGCTAGGAGCCCTGGGTTCGCGCCCAGCCGCTGAGCTGCTCTGTGACCCAGGGCCGATTGCTGAGAGATCTGGGGTGCCAACAGGGCCCTGGCTCCCATCGTCTCACTGCCTCTGCCCTCTCCCAGCCTGCCCTGCTGTACCTGGTCCCTGCCTGCATCGGCTTTCCCGTCCTGGTGGCGCTGGCCAAGGGAGAAGTGACAGAAATGTTCAGGTAAGGCAAGGCCCGGCTAGGGGACTAGGGGACACCTGCAGGCTGCCTGCAAAGCCCACCAGGGCATCTGTGGGTGCTCTAGGGAAACGCCATTCCCGCCTCCTCCAGCACCTGGGAGCCTGGGCAGTGGGTACCAACGCAAACCTCTCCCAGGACCAGGAGTCCAGGGTGGGCAGCCCAGCCCCCGAACGACCACTGGACGTTTCCCCACAGGCTGCCCCACTGTTGGGCCCTGCACTCCCTCATCAGCCTCAGCCCGCCCCTGTGAGTGACAGAATAGGGCCGTGCAGTAGGGTGGTGCGTCAGCGGCTGGGGAACCATTCCTGGCCCCCTCCCTCTCTACTTCAGCCTGTGTTCCTTGGGCACATCCCCCTTCCCCACAGCCATGGCCACACCTTGTGCACAGCCCCACCCGCACCCCAAGGCCTGCGTGACTCGGGCAGGTGTCTGCTCCCTGGCGCCTGCAGCCCCGCCTGCCTGGGACCCAGAAATAGCTGCCAGCTGCGATTAAAGCTGCCCACTCGAGGGCCTTCCACCTAGCTCCACCTGCCTGCCTAGCCTCACACTGGCCCTCAAGCGCTTGCCAGGACCTCCTGTGCACCTGGCTGCCCGCAGGGCAACCCGTGACTCACCCTTCCCCCGTACCTGCCTCTGCCCTCCCCAGCCTGCCTGGAATCCCAGCTCCCAGCCTGCCCGCCCATGGCTCGTGGCCTGGCAGAGGCCTGCAGGCTCCGAGAAGGGAAGGTGGGAGGTGAACTGGGGACAGACCCAGAGGTTTCGGAGCAGCAGTGGCCCCTGCCCCCTGCACTGCTCTCTCCCCGGCTTATCCAACCTCTGGCCCCTCCAGATGGGGGGCCTCCATCATCCAATCTTGCTGTATCCTCTGGGGACACAACCAGGGGCTAGGGGTGCCCCTCTTCAGCTGCCTGCTGCCTGGCTTCCTGCAATGTCCTGCCCCTGCCCCCACCCACCTGCTCACTTGCCACCCCCCTGCCCAGAAGTTTCTTAGGTGAAAAAGCAAATGGCCTCTCTGTCTCTCTCTCTCTCCACTTTTTCTTCCAGTTTTCCTCTCTTACTGGCTCTCCCCTCTTTTGTTTGTAGTTTTATTTTGATCATGGAATGACCTGTTAGGGGGCTGCTCGTGGCCCCACCACCACACAGGGGCATCTGGGCCATGGCCCTTGAGACCCTCCCATGGTGCATGGCACCCAGCGTCCTAGAGATGGGCGCATCCAGAGCCCCTCAACATGGCACAGCACGTAGTGTGGCATGCCCGCGGGAGGCATCCACGCCTCTCCACAGAGGGCACAGCTGAGGGCAGTGAGCCAGCGCTGCCCCCGCCCCTTGGACAGCAGACTCTATCCTATCAGGCCTCACCTCTCCATCTCCCTTGCCTGTCTCTGTCTCTGTCTCTCTTTCACACAGCTACGAGTCCTCGGCGGAAATCCTGCCTCACACTCCGAGGCTCACCCACTTCCCCACGGTCTCGGGCTCCCCAGCCAGCCTGGCCGACTCCATGCAGCAGAAGCGAGCCGGCCCCCGCCGCCGGCGCCCGCAGAATCCCAGCGCCATGTAATGCCCAGCGGGTGCCCACCTGCCCGCCCTTCCCACCTCCCCGGGGCCCAAGGTAGGGCAGATACCCCGGCCTCAGCGGACGAGGCAGGGAGCATTGCCGGGGGCAGGCGGCAGGAGGCAGCCTGGCCCTGGCCAGCATTCTTGCACGGGGCCAGGAAGTAGGGAGCCCTACACCCCGTGTTCCTGCCAAGGCCCCAGGGCTCGCATGAGTGGCCCTGGGGAGCCAGCTGCTGACGACCTGCCAGAGCCCTAGGCAGGTCACTTTCTTCTTCAGAGCCCTTCTTTCTTCATCCATGAGTGCACGGCCCTGCCTCGCTGAGTTGGTCTAGCTGGGTAATACACACTTGTCCTTGGCGTGAACCCAGTTGCTCAATAAGGGAAGCCGGTAGTGAGAGCCAAGCCAGGGGCCTGTCTGCAGAGAAGGCCCCTTGCCCCTTGTCAATGGCAATGTAGCCACAGCCTCACCCTGGCAACCCCCTTCATTCACTCACCTGCAGAAGTCACGGAACAAGTTGGTCACATGTACCCAGGCCCATTCTCCATTGCATTTGCCCCTGCTGCCTCTTGGCACCGCCTAGCACAGAGCTAGCAGGGCGTGCAGCAGGCCTGTGGCTGATGCCCTCAGTGCCTGGAGCGGGTAGAGGGGAGGGGACAACAGAGGCCCAGCCCCGTCCCACCCTTCAATGTGTCTCTATGGTTTTGTTTTTCGGCCAGTTATGAGGAGTCGAGTCCTAAGGATCCCACAGCAGTGACAGAATCCAAAGAGGCAACAGAGGCGGCGGCGGCCAAGGGGCTGGAGAAGAAGGACAAGTGACATCTCTGGGGGTTGCCCCTTGGGGCCAGAGCAGACAGGCGGTGCATGGACCCAAAGGGCGTACATGGGCTGAGCCCACAGGAGGCCCTGGGGTGGGCAGTGGGTCCCTCCAGCCAAGCCTCCAGGGCCTCGCCTTCCCTCCTAGCCTCCTCTGGCCTCCCTCTGTCCCCCTCCTCCCCTCCCCTACGGGCAAAGCTATCCCCAGCCTCCTCCCTTCCCAGAAGCCAAGTGGGAAAAGTGGGCGTGATTTTTAGACTTTTGTATTGTGGACTGACTTTGCCTCACATTAAAAACTCATCCGTGGCTGGTGGGCTGTGCTCCTAGAAGGTTTCCCGCTGAAGGCCCACAAGCTGGCTCAGCATCCCAAAATGCTTCCTCTCACCCTCAGGCAGGCAGAGAGGGGGTGGGACACATGGTGGGTCTGCCCCCCACCCACCTTGGTGAGTGGTGTGCCGAGGGGCAGGAGCCCTAACCGATGCCTACTGGCTTCAGCTGGAGAGGACCTGCCATCACTTCCATTCTGTCCATTCTGGCAGAGCCGGGGCCCCTGGAGAGGCAGGGCTGAGGGAAGAACTGGGTCCACGGATTTGCAACAGCCACGCAGGCCCAGGAGCTTGGAGCTCAGGGTTGCCCTCTCCCATGGCGAGCAGTGGGCAGAACCCTCATCCCCCTGCCCCATGTGGGGGGCCCAGGTTGGGGTGACCACTGGCTTGTGATCTCTCCATTACCCAGCTTGATATTCTGAGTATGCTGAGAAAGCCCCACTGGGACCAACACGGCCCAAACATCTGTGTCCCTATCAGCTCTCCCACTCCTGGGTTGTGGTTGCTGTCATTAGCCCCATTGTACAGGTAAGGGCACTGAGGTGCCTGCTGCGGTTGTGAACTTAACCTCAAGCAATCAGAGCTGAATTCCAAGTTTTTAAGGACCATGAATATCTCTGCAGCACCCTAGGCTTGGATGCTGTGCCTAGTGGGCTGGGCACCTCTGGACCCAGAATCCCAAGAAGGGAAGGGAAGTAGAGGAAATATAAAAAGAACCCCATTTCACAGGCTTCTCAGATCTCTGCCCGCTCCAGCCACCTCCATGGGGAGGTCCTGTGGTGCTGGAACTAAGCCCCTGTGAGGACAGCAGAGCCGGCATGCAGCCCAGGCGCACAGTGCCTGGCTCTGTGGCCCAGGGCCCACAAAGCCCTCATTGAGTCACCACCGGCCCCCGGCAGAGGATGAGGTGGCAGTGGCGCCGGGCGCCTGCCACCTAATGGCTATCCTGGCGGGGCCAGATGTTCCCCAGACCTCGGCGGCAGTGCCGAGCAGGGCCCGCCTGGGCAGCCGGCACCGCGGAGGCCACTCATTCCAATTAACCCGCTTCAGCTGAGCAAACAGCGGGCAGTGGGGCCTGGCCCGGGCAGCAGGCCCGGCCGGCAGAGCCTGTGAGTCTAGACTCCAGATGTGAACTGCCACCACCAGAGTCCCATGGAAAGATGGCACCCAGCCGGGCACGGACTGGGCCTCCACACTGGGTGTCAGCAGTAGGCAGGCGGTAGACAGGGCCCTGGCTGGTGTGTGGAGTCTTAGGAAAAACTCTGGGAGTTGCTGGGGCTCTGCCTCAGACTCCCCTGACTGCAGAAAGAAGAATTGGCCCAGGAACCCCAAGGACACTCCTTACAGTGGAACATGCTAATGTCACAAGTGACTAAGCATGTTTGATCGTGAGCCCTGTGAGGAGGGGGCCGGTAACATGTTGGTCAGAAAAGGAATCTGAGGCAGAAACGTTTAGTAAGTACACAGATGGGGATGTAAGGTGCACACTGGGACTTCCTGGTTCCTTCATTGATCCTTGGGTTTCTGGGGTCCTAGCTCGGGGGTGGGACACGGCCTCCCAGGAGGAGGAGCAAAGGGGTGATGACCTTGGCTCCTCCAGGGAGCAGCTACAGCACCAGGTGTAAGTCCCACGGGTCCAGGCCTGCGGCACGCCAACACACCCCCAGCTGACATTCTGGGGACAGATGTGGCTGAGCTAGAGTGGGACAGGAGATGAGGTGGCTCCTGGTCACCACCATGCAGTCCTAGCTGGAGTCCCTGACAACCCAGGAGGTCGCAGTTCAGGGCTCCTTGCACAAATGTTAAAACTGAGTCCTCCCCACCGCCAAGAAAAAAAAAGAAAAGGCTTGAGCCCGGAGTCCTACAGTCACTGCACAGCTGTGAGGCCATGGCCGCTCGCCCCGGCTGCCCTGGTCCCCGCCTCCCTTCCAGGCCAGGGCGCAGAAGGCTGCGTCCTGCCCGGGTGCTCAGGAAGGGCTCAGCGAGCGGGAAGGAAAGCACCCCCCACCCTCGCTACCCGCACCACGGCCACACCTGGGCTCCCAGGCAGGCAGCGGGGGACCCTGCCGGCGCCTGGCTCCAGTGAGTCTGGGACGCCTCCCCGCGCCGCCCCGTGGGGGCCGCCAGATGGGCCACCCGCCCGCCCAGCGACTGGAACAGGAAACAGCCGGCAGGGCTGCCAGGAATGGGGGCGCGGCCTGCAGCCACGCCCCGCCGCGGGAGGAGCGCAGGGGAGCAGAACTGGTGCCAGCCGCCCAAGCCCTCCTCGGGGCACCGGGCTTGTTCGAATCCAGGCTCACCTCCGAGGCAACGGGTGACCCGCAGGGGAGAGGCGGTCGGCTGTCCCAGCCTCTCAGGCTCCCTGCTTGTGAAATGGGGCTGCACAGCTAGCTCGTCTCACCTGGAGAAGGGGTGAAGAGTTGCACCTGTCCTGCCTCCCGCTCCCGCACACCTGTGAACAAGTGAACAGGCCTGGCGTCGTGAGCAGACACAGCCCTGGGGTCTCAGCACGCTGCTTCCCGCTGAGCGGCATTTTGCTCTCATCTAATGCAGAATTGGGAGGAGTCCGTGGGGTAATCCACGGAGGGCACACATCGGGTGTCCCCAAGAGGTGTTTTGTGGAAGAGGCTCTGAGATGTGAGAGACACAGGTGGAGACAAGGCACATGCTAGGAACTGGCGGCTTGTGAAGCCATCTTTGCTGTATGTGTAGACTATAAAACAGCACTTCCGGGGACTAAAGTCCTCGCCAAAGCCTTGAGGACCAGGAAAGGACGAGCAAAAGCCTTGGGACCCTGAACCTGCGTGGGAGACCTGGAAGTGGCTCCTGGCTCCTGGCTTCAGATCAGCTCCTTTTGTTGCAGCCTCTTAGGGAATGAACAGATCTTTCTGTTTCTCTTCCTCTCTGTATATCTCCATTTCCAGTAATAATAATTCCATCAAGTGGGTGCTTGGGCTGTTACCTGCTGCCTGCCCAGCCCATTACCAGGAAGCTGGTTTTGAAGAAGAGCTTGGACCTGAACCAGGCACAGCCACTCCCACATAGGGTACTGGGGTCCCAAGTAGCCTCATTCCCCACCACAAAACCCTTCCTCCCGACGAAGGGTTGCAATTCTGGCTGCCATTTTATTGGTTTTCCCCATCTGTGAAATGGGATGTGTAGTGGCTGGGCCTCCTCTCTCTCCTACTTGCCTTCTTCCCAAACGCTAGCCAGTTCTGTCTCCTCTGGCCAAGTTACCATCACTTTTAAGCCTCAGATCGATTCCCAGTTCCCTCAGCAGCTATGCCCCTGGAATGCAGCTAGCAGGCCCGGGGGGGGCCAGGAACGGCCCAAGGAACTTCAGGCACCGTCTGCACCGCGCAGGCAGGCACTCCTATGTCCACACCCCAGAGGGCCACACAGTCAGTGGGAAAGCTGCAACTGAGAAAGGAAAAGAAAGAAAGAAAGGGTGTTTTCTTCCTCAAAACTTTGCTTTGTTTCCAGTCCGTATCTGGGGAAGCCCCACAGGATGGAAATGTCCTACAAGAGATGAAACAAAAGGGAAAGTCCCATTATCTGGGGGGGGGGGGGTGTGTATGAAGTGGGTCTCTCTCCACCGGACCCCATTCCCAGCCGCTGTGTGGTCCGGGCCTGAGAACGCCAAGCCCCCGCCCCCCAACCCACGCCCACCCACCTCCAGCCCTCTGCCAGTTCCCAGGATTCACATGGTAATGAGGGCATCCATCTTTGCACAGACACACACTAGGCCCTCCCGGCCCGCCAGCCATACACAATGGCCCCAACACTCGGCCCCACCACCTGTTGGATTTTCCCAGGGAAGGGAGAGGAGGGGTAGAGTGGTGGAGGGGACCCCTTTCCTCCCAGCCCCAGCCCTGTGAGCATACTGCTCCTGGGAGCCAGACAGCCATGGTGTAGCCAGCGGCTCCCCAGCTTATCTGGCTCAGCACCCAGGTTTTTGAGTCACCGGGACCACCGGGGGATGCTGCAGCTCTTAGCAGCCTGGAGCCCCTGCTACTCTGCTTTCCATCACCTCCCCGCTAAAACCCCAGGAAGCAGGGGGTGGTGGTCCCAAGTGCTTTAGGCCCCTGCCACCTATGTAGGAGACCTGGCTGGAGTTCCTGGCTCCTGACTTCAGCTTGGCTCACCCAAGCTGCTGTGAGCCAGCAGGTGGGAAAACAACAGAAAATCTCTTGTGTGTGTCCCTCTGTTTTTTGAGTTGATGAAAGTAATTTTTTTAAAGAAATGACAGGGTCCGCCGTGGTAGCCTAGCACCTAAAAGTCTTTGCCTTGAACATGCCAGGATCCCATTTGGGCGCTGGTTCTAATCCCGGCAGCCCCGCTTCCCAGCCTGTGGCCTGGAAAAGCAGTCGAGGACGGCCCAAAGCTTTGGGACCCTGCATCTGCGAGGGAGACCCAGAAGAGACTCAGGGATGCTGGTTTCAGATTGGCATAGCTCCAGCCCTTATGCCCATTTGGGGAGTGAATCATCAGATGGAAGATCTCCCTCTCTCTCTCCTCTTCTCTGTATATCTGACTTTGCAATAAAATGAATCTTTAAAAAGAAAATAACAAAGACAAGGTTACAGAGGTTACAGGTTGTTAAGAAAAAAGGGAAAATCCACCTTAACTCTGAGCATCGGGGCCAGTTCCAGAGGGAAACATTGCTTGTTTTCATGGGTCCCAGTGAGTATAAAAATAGTTTTGGGGGTTGGATGGGGAGGTAGAGGTGGTACAATAGCTCAACTGGCTAATCCTCCACTTTCAAGCATCAGCAATCCTATATGGGCACAGGTTCGTGTCCCAGCTGCTCCATTTCCCATCCAGCTCCCTGTTTTTTATGACCTGGGAATGCAGTGGAGGATGGTTCTAAGTCCTGGGATCCTGCACCTACATGGAAGACCCAGCAGAAATTCCTGACTCCTGGCTCCTGGCTCCAGGACACCTCAGCTCCAGTGATTGCAGTTATTTGGGGAGTAAACC